GAAGAGTATATGGAGAAAAAGAGAGAGGTTAAGAGAGTGGTGAACAATGTAAAAAGAGAGCAAATGAGAGAGTGGGTGAGATGTTATCAACAAATTTTGTTGAAAATAAGAAAAAGTTTTGGAGCGAGATTAACAAGTTAAGAAAGCCTAGAGAACAAATGGATTTGTCAGTTAAAAATAGGAGAGGAGAGTTATTAAATGGAGAGTTAGAGGTATTGGGAAGATTGAGGGAATATTTTGAGGAATTGTTAAATGTTGATGAAGATAGGGAAGCTGTGATTTCGTGTATAGGACAAGGAGGAAATAACATCTTGTAGGAGTGAGGAAGAGCCAGTTGTGAGTGTGGGGGAAGTTCGTGAGGCAGTAGGTAAAATGAAAGGTTGGTAAGGCAGCCGGGATTGAGGGGATAAAGATAGAAATGTTTAAAAGCAGGTGGGGATATAGTTTTGGAGTGGTTGGTGCAATTATTTAATAAATGTATGGAAGAGGGTAAGGTACCTAGGGATTGGCAGAGAGCATGCATAGTTCCTTTGTATAAAGGCAAAGGGGATAAAAGAGAGTGCAAAAGTTATAGGGGGATAAGTCTGCTGAGTATACCTGGTAAAGTGTATGGTAGAGTTATTATTGAAAGAATTAAGAGTAAGACGGAGAATAGGATGCAGATGAACAAGGAGGCTTTAGGAAAGGTAGGGGGTGTGGACCAGGTGTTTACAGTGAAACATATAAGTGAACAGTATTTAGATAAGGTTAAAGAGGTCTTTGTGGCATTTATGGATTTGGAAAAGGCGTATGACAGGGTGGATAGGGGGGCAATGTGGCAAATGTTGCAGGTGTATGGTGTAGGAGGTAGGTTACTGAAAGCAGTGAAGAGTTTTTACGAGGATAGTGAGCTCAAGTTAGAGTATGTAGGAAAGAGGGAAATTATTTCCCAGTAAAAGTAGGGCTTAGACAAGGATGTGTGATGTCACTGTGGTTGTTTAATATATTTATAGATGAGGTTGTAAGAGAAGTAAATGCGAGGGTCTTGACAAGAGGCGTGGAGTTAAAAGATAAAGAATCACACACAGAGTGGGAGTTGTCACAGCTGCTCTTTGCTGATGACACTGTGCTCTTGGGAGATTCTGAAGAGAAGTTGCAGAGATTGGTGGATGAATTTGGTAGGGTGTGCAAAAGAAGAAAATTAAAGGTGAATACAGGAAAGAGTAAGGTTATGAGGATAAAAAGATTATGTGATGAAAGATTGAATATCAGATTGGAGGGAGAGAGTATGGAGGAGGTGAATGTATTCAGATATTTGGGAGTGGACGTGTCAGCGGATGGGTCTATGAAAGATGAGGTGAATCATAGAATTGATGAGGGAAAAAGAGTGAGTGGTGCACTTAGGAGTCTGTGGAGACAAAGAACTTTGTCCTTGGAGGCAAAGAGGGGAATGTATGAGAGTATAGTTTTACCAACACTCTTATATGGGTGAAAGCATGGGTGATGAATGTTGCAGCGAGGAGAAGGCTGGAGGCAATGGAGATGTCATGTCTGAGGGCAATGTGTGGTGTGAATATAATGCAGAGAATTCGTAGTTTGGAAGTTAGGAGGTGCGGGATTACCAAAACTGTTGTCCAGAGGGCTGAGGAAGGGTTGTTGAGGTGGTTCGGACATGTAGAGAGAATGGAGCGAAACAGAATGACTTCAAGAGTGTATCAGTCTGTAGTGGAAGGAAGGCGGGGTAGGGGTCGGCCTAGGAAAGGTTGGAGAGAGGGGGTAAAGGAGGTTTTGTGTGCGAGGGGCTTGGACTTCCAGCAGGTATGCGTGAGCGTGTTTGATAGGAGTGAATGGAGACAAATGGTTTTTAATACTTGACGTGCTGTTGGAGTGTGAGCAAAGTAACATTTATGAAGGGGTTCAGGGAAACCAGCAGGCCGGACTTGAGTCCTGGGAAGTACAGTGCCTGCACTCTGAAGGAGGGGTGTTAATGTTGCAGTTTAAAAACTGTAGTGTAAAGCACCCTTCTGGCAAGACAGTGATGGAGTGAATGATGGTGAAAGTTTTTCTTTTTCGGGCCACTCTGCCTTGGTGGGAATCGGCCAGTGTGATAATAAAAAAAAAAAATATTGATAATTATGTTTGTGTGCTTATTGTGTTGTATACAACGAGTGTATATATGTACATTGCACCTTACTTTGGTCTCACAGGCCACATTAGTTATGTGAAAAAATAAAATAGTAAAAAAAACAACAAACCTTCAAATACAAGTAAACTAAAGTTTACCGGGTGAGGGGCAGTCCCTGCTGTTGCCATACGCGGCTCATTTTCTGCAAACTTCATGCCTCTATATCTCGGTAAGTACTGATGGGAATTTTTTTGGGGGGACTAAAACAATCAGAAAAATAATCTTAACATTTTCATAAGAAAATAATTTTTTTTTTTCGAATATTTTGCGACACCAGGAGACACTTCAGGATTGGGCCTTTTGACAGTCAAAGGGTTAAGCCAGAATAATGTTAAAACTGGGAGAAAAAGAGCTAATGTATTCTACTGTATATACTTAATACAGCCTCTCCTCACTTAACGATGGAGTTCCATTCCTAAGCTCACGTTGGTAAACGAATTTGTCGTTAAGTGAGGAGCATACTATAATCGTAGTGGGTTTGTGTCAACCATCTTTAATGTTACCTTTGCACCATTTATAACATTTCTAGTATAGTATTTTTAAATGTACTGTATATAGTAATAAAAAGATTAGAGGAAATCAGCTCTAATGTACATTATTTAGGTAAGCATACTTGTCAGAGAGTCCGTCAAAAGTCTGAGTCGTTGGTAAACAAGTACGTCGCTAAGTGAGGAGAGGCTGTATAGTACTGTGCACAATTATAGATAGTATACTGCAACAAAAATTGAAAATACAGATTTAAAAGTACAATTTACTTTGTGAATTTTGATAATTTCAAAATTCCATTACAACAAGGGTTTATTAATTCAACTTATTACTTTTGAACACTGGGGTCAGTAAGAGGGTTACTTCTCTATTATATAATGGTTTTCATGACAACTATGCCAGACAGTAATTCACTTCCATGGACAAGCTACAGCACTGGTTGCTAAGCATGTTTTTTTATATAACTGAATGTACAGGTTACAAGGTGTAACCCTACCTCAATTCACTTAACCCTTTCAGGGTTTCCGACGTACTAGTACGGCTTACGCACCAGGGTTATTGATGTACTAGAATGCCTAAATTCTAGTGCCTTCAAATCTAGTGAGAGAAAGCTGGTAGGCCTACATATGAAAGAATGGGTCTATATGGTCAGTGTGCACAGTATAAAAAAAATCCTACAGCACACAGTGCGTAATGAGAAAAAAAAAACTTTGACCATGTTTTTGGATTAAAACAGCGAATTTCCACTGTATTTTTGTATGATATTTATGGTTGTATTCCAGTTTTCCTGGTCTCATTTTATAGAATGGAAGACATATTACAGGAATTGAGATGATTTTGATTGGTTTCACAATGAAAAGTTCCTTGAAATTGAGCTCAAAGTAGCAGAAATGCTCGATTTTTACCAAAGTTCAAAAGCAAACAAATCATGCCAAGCGTCCAATAAACATCAACTGGTGAGTCTAGTATTCTTTCACAAGTGCACTGATATTATTTATACCATTTCTACACTAATGCAGTAGTCTGCATAACAGTAAATCTTTCATTTTTTGCGAGAATAAAAATTCAAAGTGGAAAGCAAAAGAAATGTCAAGAGGGGCATGGGGACGTGACTAACGAACAGAGAACTTGTTATTTTAGTGCCAAGAATGTCTGTCTTGTTTATTCTGGACCCTATTTGGAAATTGGCATCTTCTGAAATTTGTGTGAAATTGGCAAAATTGCCAATTTCTAACCACTTTATTGGATAGTTGAAATTGGTAAATGGGTGCTTTCTTGTACTCATTCGATAGAAAAAATAGAGTTCTAGTGAAATATGATTTTTGAAGACTAGTACACAGGAATTGGCCGAAAATAGGGCTCAAAGTGGGCAAAATCGCCGATGCGTAAACACCGTCGAGACCGCTAACTTCGCGAGAGCATAATTCTGTAAATTTTCCATCAAATTTCATACTTTTGGTGTCATTATGATCGGGAAAAGATTCTCTATCACTTCATAAGAAAAAATGATTTTTTTTTTCCAAAAAATTTTTGACCCTGAGAACGAGTTTAGGAGAGGGCCTCTCGACCCTGAAAGGGTTAAAATCTCAGCCTTGTCTAAGGTATATTACTCCCCCAGGATACCACACACAACAGATGGCTAACACCCAGGTAGTATATCAATTTATTGCTAGATGAATAGGAGCACAAGTATAACATGACCTTCATTTTCAATTATGCCCAGGATTAAACCTAGGTTACTTTTGGTTGTAAGCTGACAATATTACCACTAAGCAATAAACTTTATTCATGTGCAGCTCAAGACCCAATCAAATTTACCTAATTATCACATCCTAAGAAACATACACTTTAATGTATCCTTAATTCAGTGGTCATAGAACTTAGAGATACCTGTTAATTATACTGGTTATTAAACCTATTTGCCCTTAATCATACTTAGGACTGACATGTATTTTCACATTCTTTTAAACAAAGTTGTATATATTCTTGGGAAAAATAGGTATGCACAGTATGTTAACATATGAGAAGACATAATTCTTGTAAATGCAGCAAGGATGTTTTTATATTTTAAATTACTGTTTGTCTGAAATACAGAAATACTTAAAACAAAAGTTCCTAACACCATCTGCATTAATTGAAATTGATGTATAAAATGTATAATGAAAAACTTTTTCATAAAACACTGGTTTAAGATCAGTATAAAAATATATTATACTGTATATAGCCAAAACAATAAAATTGGAGGTACAGCAGACAGTTCCTAAGCATAATAATGTAAATGCTTTAATCAAAGTCATTCAATATATCAGTGTTCTTAGGGTACACGGACACATTTAAGCCAATAACTAACCCCATACATGAGGCACATTTTGTTGTCTTGCAAAAATTCAGGGATATCTGGTACACCCATCGCTTCCAAAATCTCATATATTGTTCCACTCCAACCTTCTGTGAAATTTAATTGGGGTAACACTTCTGAAAAGTCGAAGTCGAATTCAGGCAAAGGATAGCCTTCGAAGAGAAGCTCACGAACCACGTGACTCTCAAAAAGATCCATTTCTTTCTCCAGCTGACTCCAGACTGTACGCAGTATTGGGTTTGTTTCATTGCCAAAGACTTGGGATGCAACCTTCATCCAGTGTCACCAGAATGGAAAGAGATTTTAGGGATGATAAACTGTTAGACAAGATAGGGTTATAGTATGGCTAATGTAACATAAGGTACAGTAGAGTACAGTAAGGCAAGGCAAGGCAAGGCAATGCAAGGCAAGGTTAGGTTAAGTAGAATAAGGTATAGTTAGATCAGGTTAGGTAACATTATGTAAGCTAGAGGCAGACTAGGTAAGGCTAAGGATAGATTAGCTAAATAACAAAAAAGGCACAATACCGTGACTGGAACGATACACAAATAACCCGCACATAAAAGAGAGAAGCTTACGATGACGTTTTCGGTCCGACTTGGACCATTGACAAAGTCACACTAACCAGAGGTGGAGCAGGACGGCTATATATAGGCAGGAAGAGGTGGTGGTAGTAGTAGTACAAGAGTTGTATATAATACCGACAAGATGAAATTAAGACACATGCACAACACCCAGGCATCCCCATCATAGACGTTTCGCCATCCAGCCAGCCACTTGACTGGTCTTCTGCTAAAACTGTCTTCCCTACTTCCAACTCGAACAGTCGCCGTCTAGTTGAATCCTCTCTAATACACAACTTTCCTTGTATGAACCTTAGCCCTGGCTTCGTCTCTGTAGATGCCTTCCTCTCCCACTACATTGTAAAATGCTCCAAACTTCAGAACACCCGTGACTTAACCTGAATCCTCATTTTTTCTTTTTCTTTTTCTTCTTCTTCCTCTTCCCCTTTCCTCTTTCCTTTTCTCCTCTGGGTTGTCTTTCTCTCTCCTGTCTCGTGTTTCTGTTCCTTCTTCATTTATTTCACCACTTCCCTTTCACGCACCTCTGTGCGCTTGCTCTCCCTCTGTGGGCATCTAGCTCTCTTGCAGTGCTCCCCTTCCTTTGTATTTCCCACTTCTACCACTACCACTACTACTGCCTCTTCTTCTTCTACTACTACTAAACTACTGATGAAATTAAGACATATGTGCGGCGTCTGGTTGTCTTTGTTGTGGACGTTTCGCCATCCAGTGGCTGGCTGGATGGTGAAACGTCTATGATGGGGATGCCCGGGTGTTGTGCATGTGTCTTAATTTCATCTTGTTGGTATTATATACAACTCTTGTACTACTACCACCACCTCTTCCTGCCTATATATAGCCATCCTGCTCCACCTCTGGTTAGTGTGACCTTGTCAATGGTCCAAGTCAGACCGAAACGTCGTCGTAAGCTTCTCTCTTTTATGTGCGGGTTATTTGTGTATAGATTAGCTAAGGGTACTAGCTAGGCTAGGTAAGGTTAAACTAGTTATACTAGGCTAGGTAAGGCTAGACTAGTTATATTAGGTTCGGTAAGGCTAGTTATACTAGGTTAGGTAAGGCTAGACTAGTTATACAAGGCTAGGTAAAGTTAGACTAGTTATAGAAGGCTACATAAGGCTAGACTAGTTATACTAGGCTAGGTAAGACTAGACTAGGCAAGGCCAGACTAGTTATACTAGGCTAGGTAAGACTAGTTATACTAGACTAGGTAAGGCTAGACTGGCTATGCTAGGCTAGGTAAGGCTAAACTAGCTAGGCTAGTTAAGGCTACATTAGCTAGGTTAGGTAAGGCTAGACTAGTTATGCTTGGCTAGGTATGCCTAGACTAGCTAAGCTATGCAAGTCTAACCTAGCTAGGCTAGGTAAGGCCAGACTAGGTAGGTCAGGCAAGACTAGACCAGTTAGGCTAGTTAGTTTATTATGCACCCGGGCCGGGACAAGACCAGTTAAGCTACTACAGTACAGTATGAACCCCATACCCATCCTATGGGCAGTAGCTAGGCTAGGCAAGACTAAACTAGCTAGGCCTAAGCAAGACTAGACTAGCTATGTGTTATGGGACTATGGGACCCAACACATATTGATGTATATAAGTGTTATGTTGTTGTCCTCTAGGTAAGGCTATCCTAGCTGGGCTAGGTAAGGCAAGACTAGTTAGGCTAGACTAGCTAGGCTAGGTTAGGGATGGTAAAAATAGGTTAGGTTAGGTTAGCCATGCACGACAAAGTACAGAGAAATGGAGAAAGGAAGAGTTAGAGAGAGAGAGAATGTAAATATTTTAACATGCAAAATTGACAAAAAAAAAAAAATACCAAGCAAATCAAAATGTTGTAAGAGTTAAGTATATTATAAGTGCTGACAAACACATCACACTCAATATGTTAACACTGTGTCAAAACTGATAATGATAACAATAGATAAAGAAATAATAAATAAGATCATGAAATTGCTTATTATATGCAATCTGTTAAGTTATTTAGTAAGAATATCATTAAATTTTACAATTATTTTATTAAATAGTCTTGTGAACAAGAGTCAAGTGCTGTTATTATGTATATATGTCAACAAATCACTGAGACCATTTCCAAAATCATAAAATGTCACATATGTTAAAGCCTCTATAATTCAACAGACAATTTGGACATTATTCCTTATTTCAGCAAGTCTGAGATATTATTTTGATTTTAAATGGCATAAGATTATAACCAGTAACAATAAATTAAATAAGAGCTTAATGTGTCTCCTAAGGGCCACCAGTGGCCATGGTAAACCTCCCCTCAATGTGTGTTCTAAACAGTGATGTAAACCTCCATCAATGTGTCTCCTAAGGGCCACCAGTGGCCATGGTAAACCTTCCCTCAATGTGTCTCCTAAGGGCCACCAGTGGCCATGGTAAACCTCCCCTCAATGTGTCTCCTCAAGGGCCACCAGTGGCCATGGTAAACCTCCCCTCAATGTGTCTCCTCAGGGCCACCAGTGGCCATGGTAAACCTCCCCTCAATGTGTCTCCTCAGGGCCACCAGTGGCCATGGTAAACCTTCCCTCAATGCTGCTCTTTTATGGTGTAAATTGTTAGTATGAAAGGTGAGAAACCATTTGGTTTGAAAAATAAAGCAAAGGTGAAACAGATCTGAGTATTTTCTTTTATTAGTACTGTTAAAAATATATTCCTTATAATTTGGAATCTGCCAAAGTGCTGCAGTTATAGAGGACTTCACTGTAAATTAATAATTATTTATTGTACCATGTGATTTTAACATATATATACATTATAAAGAAAAGCATTTATATACAGCACAGATAATTATCACTGTACAATAACCAACATCAAATGACAATATCTTTAAGTTCAAAAGGAGTGGACCAGTAAGCCAGTGGAAGACCTCTGCCAGATGACCACAGGCTATAGTGGTGGGTCAACTTATGACTAGGACCATGAATAAGTCAATTAAGACCAACATCAAAAGATAATTTATCTTGTTTGGTGGCAGATCTTACCTAGCCTAACATATGAGAGTGTAAACTTCACCAGCATGGTGGCTGGGGCAGCAAGTCCACACAAGGGCATAAAGACAGGTAATGCATGGCATCATTTTATTTTAGATGTTTCATTTGAGACTGCTCCATCCTGAGCTCAATCCTGTGCATCACCTCTTGTTATACCCTCTTTCTAACATAATATTAATGTATATTTTCATTTTGACTAAAACTGTAAATATATTCATAGCTTCTGAAAACAGGAAAGTGTCTTCCCATGTCTTTAAGATCACAGTGAAGGGCTCTTGATCCAAGGAGGCAAAACTAAACTCTCCTTCCTTGGATCAGATATGACTACCTCTTATTACCCAGGTTCTCTCTGAACTCCTATAGGTTTATCTCTCCCTCTATGAGTGCAATCATAATAATGTAATCAAGCACTACAAGCACAGACGAAGGCGAAGAGTCACAGAGCTGCTGAGTGGGGTCAATATATCTGAAATATGAAGGGAAGCACTGGTCAATGAAATTACAAATATTGAACTTAAGCTGAAGGAATCTTATAGGAGAAAGGAATCACAGAACTAAAAGCCATAAAGGAAATTGAAAGAAAAAACAAAATACTTCTTCTCTTATGCCAAATCTAAGGGAAAAACAACATCCAATATTGGGCCCCTGCTTAGGCGAGATGGGACATACACAGATGATAACCAAGAAATGAATGAGATACTAAAGTCCCAATATGGCTCAGTGTTCAGCTATCCACTGCCCACTCTAAGAGTCGACAATCCAAATGAATTCTTTATGAACAAAACCCAAAATCTGGTCATCCCAAAACTCTCAGATATTATTATAACTCCACAAGATTTTGAAGAGGCAATTAATGAGAGAGATGCCCATGCACTCTGCCCCAGGCCCAGACTTGTGGAATTCCATGTTCATCAAGAACTGCAAGAAGTCCCTATCACGTGCCTTCAGCATTTTATGGAAAGGGAGCATGGACACAGGGGTCATCCCCCACACACTAAAAACAACAGACATAGCTCCACTCCACAAAGGTGGCAGTATAGCAATTGCAAAGAACTACAGACCGATAGCACTAACATCCCATATCATAAAAATCTTTGAGAGGGTTCTAAGAAGAAAGACAGCCAACCACCCAGGTACCCATCAGTTACACAACCCAGGGCAACACGGGTTTAGAGCAGGTCACTCCTGCCTGTCCCTGCTACTAGACCACTATGACAAGGTCCTGGATGCTGTAGTGGATAAACAAAATACAGATATAGTATACACAGACTTTGCAAAAGCTTTCGACAAGTGTGACCATGGTGTAATAGTACACAAAATGTGGGATAAAGGAATAACGGGAAAAGTTGGTTGATGGCTCTACAACTTCCTGACAAATAGAACACACAGAGTAAAGTCCCAGGCAGCCATGGTAAAAAGCTCTGTTCCACAAGGCACAGTAATTGCTTCCATTCTATTCCTCATCCTCATTTCTGACATAGACAGAGATGCAAGCCATAGCTCTGTGTCTTCCTTTGCGGATGACACCCGGATCACCACGGCAGTGACCTCCATCGAAGACAATGCGAGACTCCAAGCGGACATCAACCAAATCTTTGAATGGGCCACTCAAAACAATATGAAGTTCAATGAGGAGAAATTTCAACTACTCAGATATGGAAAACTTGAAGAAATTAAAAA